AAAGAACATATTCCTAAATAACCAGTGGGTCAAGAAAGAAATCACAAGGGAAATTAGAAAATATTTTAGGACAAATGGAAACAAAAACACAGCATACCAAAAGTTATGAGATGTAATTAAAGTAATGCTTACTTAGCCTTCTGGCCTCTTGGCAAGGAGGCAGTTATCCATAGAGGCAAGTAGCCATATATTCCATAGCCCCTTCCTATTCCCAACTCTTCTTCTCTTGTTCCAAGTGAGTAGAGACAATTGAGGTATCTTGGACTGCTAGTTGCAAGCGTTTAAGACCCCAGACACTAAACATAGAACTAGGAAGTACAACAGAGGCACCGAATATATTACTAGGTCAATTAACTGGGATGAGCCATGAAACCATGATCCTAAACCTCCAAACCAAGAAACCTCATCAAATCCAAACCTCATCAAACCCCATGAGGTTTTGTTTGCACATGGAAGACTCAGCAGCTTCTCTTCCACTATGTGTATGTGTGTGTGTGTGTGTGTGATTGCTGTAAATATATCATGTGGCTTTTTCCAGTTCAACCTCTACAAGCGTACAACTTATTGATAGATATTACAATTATTGGCTGTGAAACCTTTTCCTTAATCAATGTGATTTGCTAATCATCATTAATTTTCTTTTTTCCTCTCTCTTCTGTCCCTGGTAACTATTAATAAACTCTATTCTCTATAAAACAAATAAATAAAGAAATAATGGTAGTAACAAGAAATTCTTGATACTGTAGGATTCACAGTTTGTCTTTAAGTACTTTATTTATTTGTTTTATAGAGAATAAAGTTTATTAATAGTTATCAGGGACAGAAGAGAGAGGAAAAAGGAAAATTAATGATGATTAGCAAATCACATTGATTAAGGAAAAGGTTTCACAGCCAATAATTGTAATATCTATCAACCTACTACAGCTGTGGATAACTGTGTAAAAAAGAAACATTTCAAATCAATGACCTAACCTTCTATCTTGGGATACTAGAAAAAAAAAGGAGCAACCTAAGACCAGTCAAACAGATGGAAGGAAATAATAAGTAT